GGTAAGACAAGTTACAAGTCGCTCATTTTTCTCGACGGAAAATAATGAAAAAGGTAAGCACCTAATTTACTACTTGAGTACCTTGGCTTGGCGTAAAGTAGGTATAAAGGATAGACAGGATGTTTCTGTGGTGCGTGGTCTTGCGCGGCTCCATCGGGAAAATGAGGAGAGGAGGATTTGTCATCGCCTGCGAGGCGACACCGGAAATACGATTTGTACGTGCGATCGATCAAAACAAACCTTCGTCTCTTGGCACCGTAGCGGCGGCGGCAGTGGTGGCAGCGGTCGCTCTATCCGAGGCGATTCGATGAGCTAACGCCAACTTAACGCTACACACCCCACTGAGCCGCACTCGGTCAGATAACTCGTGGATTTTCGAGCACTCTGCAGACTCTCCAATCGCTTCCTCACTTGTGGATTCCGCCACCGCGGTGTTTAATTCGCGCTGAGAATCTTCGCGGAATTTTTCACGCAAAGGGAATCCGAATCGCCGGATCGTTACACGAACTGAATAAGGGGAACCAATTTTTAGACTTTCCCCATAGTCACACATGTAATAACTAATATATCCTCTTTACTTTTAAACAATCAAAGAAGTATAGGCTCTACTGATAATAATCAATAATCGTTAAAAAGCCTGTTGAAAGCCAACGCTAGTTACAGTTGCAAATTACAATTTTATTACTATCTAATGTACAAATATAATAATAAACGTTTCGACCCGAGTTTTGGGTCCTCCTTAGTATATATACATACTTTAAATAACAAATCAATTACTGCATTACATATAAAGACGTTGTTCTGTCCAATCGCTTGAAATGCGTTTTGTTTTAAGCGATTGGGCAGAATGTCTTTATATGTAATGCAATAATTGATTTGTTATTTAAAGTATTAATATTGAGGAGGACCCAAAACTCGGATCGAAACATTTATTATATTTGTGCATTAGATAGTAATAAAATCGTAATTCGCAACTGCAACTAACGTCGGCTCTCAGCAGGCTTTTTAACGGTTGTTGATTATATATTTTTATATATAATAAAATAATAATTATACAATTCTATTTTTAAAGCTTTGTTGTAGTTGTTTTGCTGCCGGAAAGAAAACACTCTTTATTATTATATATAAAGAATTCAATCTCAGTGAAGAAGTCAAATTCAACAAATGACTAGATATAGAAATCCTGTATATTAAAAATTAATCTCATGGACTGTAAAATGATACAGATCTTTTTGATTCAGTTTATTATGATTTAATTAATAGTTTTTAATTATGAATTCTCTATAGATATCATATATATATATATATATATATTTATATCACTGTTTTAATTTTTATAACAAATCTCTGATAGAAGTGAGACAAATTTAATAAGAATTTATAATCAGCTCTTTTCTCGATCACATTCTGTTAATTTGGAGCTTGCCATTATCTTTTTTAAGCTCTTCTACTTATTTATTTAACTTTAAAGAATTTTATGGATTTGATGACAATTTCAATTAATTTAACATGACGCCTGTAATTATTTTAATTATTCGACTTTTAATTGAACTACAAGTTACAATAGATGGAAGATTCAATCATTAGAAATTTACGACCATTTTATCGTTAATACGTACTGAAAAAGACCTAAATCCGGAATCGAAACGTATGCTATTTGAAATTTTATGTATGTATTAATTATTATCGAAAATACACAATAATTCAAGCACTGTTAACTGTGTTGGCTTATACAGGCTTTCATACTCATCAATGTACACAAGTTGTACATAATTGAGAAAATTTGGGGGGAGAAGAGGAAGATCAGTGAACAATTATTTTCAATAAATTGCTAAAGTAAAAGTAAAAAAAAAAGTACCCTGTGATAGTACTAATTCTTATGCGCTGCATACGTCTAAAGTTTGCAGGATTGAAATCCTTTGCGATATAGTGAACCGTAAATAAATAAACCGTTTCTATGAAATAACAAAATTGTTTTGGAATATATGGGAAAAAATTTGATTAAAATTGATATAATCGATTTCAAACTTGATATGTTCGTTCCATCCACAAAAAAATAACAAATAGAATGCGTTACGGATACAATGATCACAAAAGATTCAATTATTGTGATTATATATAAATACACAAAAAAGAAGAGTAAACACACTGTTGTTATTTTCCTAAAAATTGTCTATACAATTTTTGCTATCCTAAATTATTCGAATTTTAATGTTTAACATAATAGACTTAATATGATAAATAAAATAAAATACATTTTGTTTATCATATTAAGTCTATTAGTTAAACATTAAAATTCGAATAATTCATGTTTATTGTATTATAATAATATAACAAATATATAATATTTATTATATTATTTATCATTATTTTTTTCGATATTTACTCGAGTTTTCTAAATTTATAACAATACAATAAATTTATACCACACATGGTACAATATATATCCATTGATAAAATCATTAATATTTTCTAGCATATTCTGCCAAAAATCATATATGTTATAACATGATATATTAAAAGATAAACGTAACAAAATTATCAAAGATTAAGGGGAGGAAGTTATTGAATAAAGACATCGCATTTAGATGCTCCTTTTTAGCTTGGCGTTTTAACTAAGTTATACGACGACTATCGGGATGTCAAGTGATAGAAATTATGATCTCGCGACGGAGCAGCGAAGGATCCCGCGGAAGGAACGAATCGGTGGGCCCG